TGTCAGGACTAAAATGAATATGCGCTGTTACTAATTTACGTTTTTTTGTTGAGAAAAGTTAATACTTTAAAAGTTAATTTATTCTACGCAAGATTTGTTGAAATTCTCTTTACTTAGTCCAATCTACAGCTTTATTCTGGTGAATAATTTTGACAAAAGGCAAATATGCTTTTGCCATTTTAATCAACATTAAAAAAATTTTTTTTATTTTTAATGCTTTTTTATTTTCCTCTTCCTTATTTTTTTTTTAAAAGTTTTAGTCCTTTATCTTCATTCGTTTTAACTTCCAAGTTTCAGTTTTCTTTTCTGTAAAAAATGTTGATTTTTCACCTTTCTGATGTCCTAATATATCTGATAGAATTTCAGCCTTATTGTTATTGAATTAATTTAAAATCATTTTCCCTTTTTTCTTTTTTTTCACATCTTTAAATATTGATATTGAAATAAAACAAATGTATTTTTCTTTATTAATACATTTTGAATGCATTTATTTCAAATTAAAGTTTTTCACACCTGTTTTTAACCCATTCTTTCTTATCCTCCATCATTTTTTCTTGGTTCATAGCATGATTTATCTGAATTATTCTTGGTAAAATGTCCATGGTTCTTTTTTAATTCCTCACATTTAAATCATGATTTCTTTTAAATTTTTTTTTTTTTTAAATTACAACTGTCTTAGAAAGTCTCTTTTCTCAAATTTTTCTTTTTAAAAAAACATGCAGAAAGAATAGCCAACATTTCATTGTTTATTATTTCATGAAATCTAGTAGGGTTTTTTTTTAGTTGATTTTTCCGCCTTATATTCTTCTTTTTTCTCAAATTTCCCAAAATTTTAAATTGTACCAATTTTTTAAACGATTTGTTTTCCTTATCAATCATCTTTTCTTTTTCTCACTTTTCATTTTCTCTTGAATTAATTTCCATCCGTTTATCTATTTACATTTGTTTTGCCATCTTCATGTTTTTTCATTTCCCTCTTATTTCAACATTTACACCATCTTTTATTTCCTCATAACATCAAAATAATTATTTTCTTGATTTTCCTTTCATCTCATATTATTCTCTGTTTTTTTCATGTGAAACTTCATGTATTCCTGAATCTTCATTTTCCACCAACAATTCGTAAATTTCTTTCCAATAATTTTCCTTTCTTTCTTTTCTATGTTGATTTCGCCCTAGAGCCAAACTGAATCTATTCAATAATAATTACCGATTAACAAAAAATTTTGTCTTTCACAAAGCATCAAATTCTGTTTATGTTCAATCGTTTTGCTTAAGTTACAGATTATAGTCCATTTTACCCATTTGTTAGACATTTCTCAAAAACCGACGCCATCTTAAGTCAATTTTTAGCCAGCCAGCCAATCAATGAACAGCTGTCTACCTGATTTATTTAAATGTTCAACTTTTTTACATCAAACGCAGAGCGACTTGAAAATTATTAGACACTTGCTTAATTTATAAAAATTTGAACTCAGAGTCAAAGAAAATATTTGAAATCACAGATTTTTAAACTTTTGTCAGTCTCACTTAATCAACGAAAGTCTTTGAAAAGAAAAAACTTTTTATTCAAATTTTATATCTAAAACTATATGTAAAAATAAATCGTAAATTAAATAAGAACAAGTGAATTTAATTCATAGATTGTTCATCCATCCTCCTACAATAAGTTTTGCTGGATTTTTTTCTTCATGAATTATAGAAGGAGAAAACTTAAAAGGAGATTAATAACGAATTGATATCTGTTATAGTTTTATTTGATAGCACAAGTCATGATACTTTTGTTCAGTTCTCTGTGTATATCTATGTGTGAGTATAGATGATAAATTAATAAAAAACTATTTATTTTCGGCTAATACCATAACTATGCTATTTGCTTACGACAACAATATTTTTTTCAGACACACTAATATATATATATATATATATATATATATGTGTGTGTGTGTGTGTGTGTGTGTGTATTGGGAAATGGACAAAGTCCGACAATTATTTTAAGACATTTTTTATGTTTATACGTTCTTTTTATGGATACAAATATTTAAGTAAATGCTCTGTTTATAATAAACATTATTAACGACATTTACCGGCCTGAATGTCCGAGAAATTTTCATAGAAAAATGCGTCCTCCGGCAGGAATTGAACTTATATATAACTTATGATAATGTTTTTATTTTATCAGACAATTTGAAAGGAACTTACTAAAAATAAATAGACAAAACTTGTCTATATTATTTAATGAAACATGCATCAATGAAAAATTGCCTAAATATATATATATATATATATATATATATATATATATATATATATATATATATATAGAGAGAGAGAGAGAGAGAGAGAGAGAGAGAGAGACTGAGGAAAGAGATTGATTGATTCTACATTTTCTATGACGTGTCAACCCTGTCTAGGTTATTTAAAGACAGAAAATATTTTTAGATTCTAAGAATATTTTAGAGACTATAATTATTTACCAATCGAAGTTCTATTATTTAACCCGTAGCTGGAGGGAGAAGAGGTGGATTCGTACCTCTCCCAAGGAAATTTACGCGTAATTAAATAAAACGAACCCAACTGGATTTGGAAGTCGCTTCTCCCATTAACAATTCAGAACTGTTATCCTTTACATCATTGGCAGATCCAAGCTTACAACACCTTCTATTCCCAAGATGTAGACACCATAGATGTGGCGGGTGGAGAGTAGTGGATCCATACCTTTCCTCAGGGTATTTTATGTTAACGAAACTAGTTAGAATTGGAACTCACCGGAAGTCGAAAATATTTTACATTAAATAGTACATCTCTTTCTAAATATTTTTGGAATTTAAAAGAAGCTTAATAAAAATTTATGGTAAAATGATAATTTTAAAAAAAGTTAGGAAATACGTAGACCTTTAAATGAACTCCTTTTTTTATATTTTACATGAAAAATTAGAAATTATCAGATTTGAAAAACTTCTTATTAAATCAAAGAAGTGAACTGGACTGGTAAAATTGTAGGCATAGCCTGCCTTTTACTCACATAATATGCTTAAACTTTGAATTTGATAATACTTTTCTTGTACTAGATGAACTGTTGTACACCTTTTATATGGCATACTATTCTATTTTGTATGTTTATTTTTGATTTAATATAGCTTTTGTATTAATGTCATTAGTATATTAACAACTTATATGGATTTACTGGTGTTTGTTGATATTAATATCCTATACATTGATTAGTTGGCATTATTAACATGTATATGGATGTTTTTTATTTAACGTTGTGTATTAATTTGCCAAAGTAGTTCTATATTTTTGATCTTTTTTATGAATAGTTGTTGGCTGCCAGTTTTTAAAGGAGTCTTATTTATCAACTACAAAATTTTATGCGTAAGAAGCTGAATGAGCATATAACTGGCTTAACATTATGTTAAATTACCTCATCCATCACTTTCAATTTTGCCTCTGGTAAGTTTTAGTGTCTGATTTCAATACATCTTACAAAAAACAATGTAACAATCTGTTTCTGCCCATAAGGAAATTGTCAACAGACAACTATGCAGACAACTTTGTGTTATGACTCCATATTAAAAAAAATTTTTCCGCTTTTTTTAAGCATTTTGCTTTTTTAAATCAAATTAATCTTTTCACTTGCTAGTAGTCAACATTACCTGAAGAGACATTTATGGTATTGAAACAATTGTAATTGAGTGATTTTTATAACATGTTGTAATATCCTAAAATAAATAATAAATTATATATATATATATATATATATATCAGGTGTAACAGCAAAAATTGTCCTATTGTTAGATTAAGCTTTGAACCGTTAGAAATGATTAAAGATATCTTACTGGAATTCTCCAAGATTTTTATAACACTATTGGACTCTACCTCGAACAATAAGAATGTATTTAACTCCAAGTTGAAATGATGATCCCTCTTGCAGTTGTGACCTCCTGATCCAGTTTTCCTCTCTATTGTTCCCTCATTTTTAAATTTATTCACTGTTCTCTTGATGTTGGTAACATTACTGAAGGCCTGAATGATTTTTCCTCTCACTACTGCTTAGTTGAGAAGACAATGGGGCTGACACAAAATGATTTTAACCTGTTCTCTTTCTAGCTGAATAACTCAAACGGTTTTTCTATGATTCTTACAACAAATGGTACCTAGATGGATAAACATCTGAAAACCTAGGAAAAAGAAACTAAATTAATTTAGTGGATTTTTATAAATTAACTAATTTGTGGGATGGACAATTATGCTGTAACACAATTTGGACAATTTTGTTGTTACACCTGGTATATGTGTGTGTAAGCAATAACAGTGAAATTCATAATATTCATAAAATAAAAATTATTAATTATAAATTCTGTATCGAAATGCTTGTATAAGTTTAAACCTGATTAATTTAAATATTATTCATATACAATTCTTACTAAATGCTTGGCAGATAATTTACTAAATAAATCTGAATAATTAGTAATCATCATTGATTTCATCAAGAATTGAAAACTAAATATTAAAGTCCAAAAGAAAGCTTTTCCCATACAAAATATGAGAAGTATTCATTTTTAAGCATTAAAATACTTCAGGTTCATACTTTATTCACCATAATCTCCTAAGTAAAAGTAGCATAATTAATCACTATTATCTCTTCACTGTTTAATTTCCTTTTTACTGGTATAAAAGTCATTAGATATTTTTATTCTATAAAAAAAAAGAGAATATAAAAAATTTAATAAAATCTTATTTTTATCTATATTTATAATTTTCTTTAATCATACTACTATATCTTCCATATAAATGGTAGTTATTAGGATCCGGTTTGAATTTCATGTAATGTTTTACTACTAATTAAAATGAAACTAAAAATAGTTTATGAAAAATTGGAAGACATTTTAAATTACTAATAAAATCTTTCCACACTAGTTGAACATGTAACAAGTGAAAAGAATGACTAATTGGTAGAATACTGATGATAAAAACAAAAATCAAAATGAAAATAATACTTTTTATATTTTCCTTTAGTAGAGTTTCCTTTTTTATTTTATCAGCCAAAGTTGTGTCTGAGAAGAACAAAAGAAACAAAACAATTTCTAGAAATATTTAGAAGAAAATGTAAAATATAGGACAAGAAATTAACAATTTCTAGAATGTTAGTAACATAATTTCCTTTTTTCTGGAATTACTTTTATATTTATATTCATATATTATGAATATTTTCAAGCACTCAAACAATGCTCATTCAATAACATACAAACCATACAATATTGCAAATTAAGATATTCTTTCATGCACATATTCATTATCATCCTCATTCATGCATACATTTATATATGATTTTTATGAATGTATATATTAATATGCTATGCATATATCTCTATTATTCTATCTTATTATTATTGCTTTTTATCACAACACTCAAAGTCAATAAACACTTTGACAATGCAAAAGAAAAAATTTGGATTCTGTCTATCATGGAAACATCAATGATTAAACAAAACAATTTTTTCTTCATTCTCTCACATTTTTCTCTCCAATACTCCATGTCATTTTTGTTTTATGAACTAGAAAGAGTAGAATTAAATTTTCAAAGTTTTACATAAAACATTTTTGTTATAATTTTATTACTAGCTGTTGAAATAAAAAGTAACAAAAATAAAATGGAGTAAACATTTTTTTTACCTTTTATTACAACATTCTGGGTTAATAAACTCTTTGATAATAGGACAGATAAAAGCTCATAATAAAATAATAATGAAAATACATTTTTACAAATTTCTACACACATTTTGATTATACAACCTACATTTTTTCTGTTCAAATGGCTTCCTTTTTAAACTATTTCAAGTATAGCTCTTTCAAAACTGAAAGTTTTATAATTATTTATAATAGGATTTTAGATTTTTAAAACTTACTTTTTTTCAAATTCTATTATAAAGAGAAAACAGATCACATTATATAAACCTTCCACCAATGTCAGGACTAAACAGAAATATCACTCTAATTTATTTTTTATTTTATGAGAAATAAACTTAATTTATGCACTAAGATAATGAAAATTACTATACTTAGAGCAATTATTGTTTAAATATAATATAATTTTACAAAAGGCAAACATGCTTGATTTATTAATCAACAAAAAAAAATTATTCTTATTTTTAAAAATATTTAAATAACTAAGTATTGAAAACTGTTTTTAAATATTTTATTAAAAATATCATCTTTAAAAATAAGTATAAACAATAATGAAATTGTAAAAAAAAAGTTGATAGTAAAGAAAACAAATTCATAGAATTTCCAATAGAAAATCAGTCATTCCAATATTGAATTAATTTAAAATGAATATGCTACTTTTCTTTTTTCTCAACATCCACTAATTTTATATTGAAATAAAACAAATTCAAAGTTACTTATTAATACATACATGCATTTATTTAGATTAAAGTTTCTTTCACAAATCAATGTAATGCTACTTCATTATTGTATGAGGTTTCAGCTTCATAGAATGATTTATCTGAATATTCTTGGTAAAATGTCAAGTTCTGTTTTAGTACAATTAGAGAATCATGAAACTATTAAATTATTGTATTTCAATTAAATTACAACCTCCTGAGAAAGTCTCTTTAACCAAATTTTTCTCTTTTTAAAAAACATGCAGAAAGAATATGTACATTTTATTAAAACACAGTATGTCATGAAATATAGTAGGGTTTTTTGTAGTTGAATTTTTCTTGTAGATATTCTTGTCTTACCAAATTATCAACAAAATTTTAAATTGTAAGGATTAATTATCTTGCTTTCCAACAATATCAAATTTGTGGTATTCAATAAGGATTATGTATTTTCTTTCCAATTTAAATGGCATATGCAGCAATAATCATGTTTATTCATGTCTCTTATTTTAAGTCTTAAGGCAACTTTTCATTCTATTAACATCAAATTAATTATTTTGCTGGAAAGATTCAGTGACATCATCAACATTATTATAGTTTTTTTTTCAGGTTGAAACACAGTATATCATGAATGTACAGAAAATAAAATTGGTAACTTCTAAATTACTAATAGAAAATTTAACAAAACAACTCATACAGCTATTTTTCCCCACAGAGCCAAACTTATAACTTGACAATAAGAATTATTTCAGGTTAAACTAAAAATTATGTCAGGCCAAATACATATTGTGATTTTCAGCAATGTAGTGCTTAATTACATAGATTATGTCCATTTTAGCAATTAAGTTCTTTTTCTCAAAATAGTTTAAGAAGCTGCCAAATTACCAATCAATTTTTGACAATGTTTAACCTTTGTGCCCACCCTCTGTCAACAAAAAAGTGTTTCAAATAGACAACTTTTCTGTTGACACCAATATTACTTTAAACTACTAAGACTTACAAGATTATAAAAAATATGTGAAGCAAGTACAATTCAATATTTATTATTATTTACCATTTTATAAACATTCATTATTTATCACTTTATAAAGAAACAAATATGAAAAGAAAACTTTTTATTCAAAAATTTATAAAAACCAACAAAATTTTCAAAATATGTTAACAATGCAATATTTGTTATTTATCATTAGATAAATAACTATGAAAACAAGTTTTATGCATATTTTTATAAAAATATCTATGAATTATAGAACAAGAAAATTTAAATAAACATGATTTTCCAGGACATTATACATTTTCTTCTCAAATTATTTTATATCTCAGATTAATTCTTGTTTTAATTTTCCAATTGTTTTTATAATCATGATTTAGAAAATAGAAATTCAAGGCCTGAATCTCCAGCAATTATAGGTTACCATTCCTATTCTTTTTGAAAATCAATTTTGAAAAATTTTTTGAACTGTTGCTAATTTTTCTAAAAATTCCTAGAAAATATGCCAATAGATTATTTATTGCCAGCCAAATGCTGATTGATGAAGAAACCTTAAATGAAGAGTAGATACTAAGCACCTTGACTAAGACAAATGGTGAATTGTGTTCTTTGGAATGGTTGGCAAATTGCCAATCAATTCAAATTTTATAAAATGGTACATAATAAAGATCTCATAGTTAGTATTTACATTATTCGGACTATTGTCCTTATCTTTGTCGCCATATTTATTACTACGTTTCAGCCAACAAAGATGAGGACAATAGTCCGAATAATGTAAATAGTGACATAATACTGTAATGGAGCGAGTTTGGGAAACACACACAAACACACATATATTTTTTTTATTGAAATTGGAGTAGATTTGAACAGCGAAATTAGATCAGAACAATTTTGTTTACTGATAGAAATCTGGTCTAGCCCATTTGGAATCAGGTCACAAAAAAGACAATGAAAATGATCAAAATAAATTTTATCGGTTAAAATTTGAAATAGAGCTCACTAAGGTTTTGATTACTTTGAAATTCACATGATTTTGGGTCGAAAACGGCACTCGTGATAATCGCGTGCGGGACAAAGGTTGATTAATGTTCAACCAGAATTATCTATATAAATGCGTAGTTATGCTGAAGAAGAGGAGATGGTCGAGCAAGACGTGAGAGGCCATGATCAGTCAGCTGTCAGTTGTCACAGTGCACGGGTGTTACAGGCAAATCGCAGGTGACCATTAGCCACGGTGCAGAGATAGAAATCTTTTTCGAGAGATTGGATAAGCCCATCTGCAACATCGAAGCATTCTGCTGGGTGGGAGAGATGTCAGAGATTGAAAGTGACTATTAGAGATTGGAGCCAGAAAACACGCCTCTCTAACAATGTTGTTGTTGATATAAGTACTTCATAGCAATTGAGCTCCCTCCAAGAATCTAAGACTGCTGGAAGAATTATTACTACCACTGAAACAGAAAACAAACCCCACAACCAAAATTTTGTCTTGTTCCAAGTGCAGGTTGGTTTTAATTTGTCTGTCTTCAAGTGCAGTTGAGCTGGGTGGAGAGAGTTGAATTGAAGGCTGGAAGAAGTATGAAAGTGATGTCAGAGATTGGAACAAAACCCCCACTAACATGTACTGTTAATATAAGTACCGATGCTTCTGCTACCACAAAGATTACTACTACAGTTACTACTGCTGAGGAGGAATGCAACTATAAACTTTAAGCCACACACAGAAATCCTTATCTTTCCATCACAAGAGTCGCATATCGTTCAGAGACGATTTAACAACAAGTTAATCAAAACCCACTCTCTCTCTCTGTCTAGAATCCAGTGTATAAGTTTTTCTTTTTCTTTTTATGTCAAATAATTTTCTTTTCTGTAACCCATTTCTTTTCTACACTATTCTTTTCTGCTATATAAAAAGACATTAACATTTCAACCACTGAATAGTTGTTTGTCTGGTTTTCTGCAGATGTATATTTTTTTTTTTGGTGCCTTCTAAATTTCTTAGTACAGACTCTCCAGCCGTGTCTACATCTTCAGTCGACTGTGAATGAATGAATATCACTTCTTCTTTCTGGATCAAACCAAACACAATGTGGGCAGGAAGCAGGATTAAACCAGTGGACCGGTTGAATGATCTGTAGATGCTCAGGGGATCTACGGTCACTCCCTTAAGTTCAGTTAAGACCAAGTAGTTACCTCAAACCAGAGAGTAAGACGTCGGAGGTTGAGGGGCTGGGGCAAAAGTGTTAGAATACCTCATCTCAGAAATATAGACAGATCTCATATTTAATTCACATATTTTTATGATTTAGTAAATTTTTATAAATTTATGAATAAATAAATTGTTTTCATATTTCTTTATAAATTGGTAAATGATAAACATTGCATTTTATTAGTTGGTTCAATTTTTTAGAATGTTGTAAATATAAAACTATTCTTGTAAATAAACACTATAATAAATGAATAGTCTTTAATATTTTTTTGTAAATTCTCTAAGAACAAAGAAAATGTATAAATTCACTTTCATATGTTTGGGTTTTATTAAAATTCTAATCACCACTTATTAAAGCAATAAACATTGAAGGGATTGAAGGTAGTACAAAATAATAGTGGTATCAAGGGAAAAACCATCCTTTTGACACACTGTTTTATTGTGGGCAGAAAGATTAATCTTTGCCCAATTTTTAATAAAAAATAAACAAAGAGGTATTACCGACATCCTACTTAGAATATAAAGGTAAATTTTAATTGGCATTTAACTTGAACTGTTTTCCTGGGAACATTATTGATTATAAATCAGAAAATAAGTGTTACTAAGAAAGGTTCTTCCAAGCTTAAAACATTATGCACATTCTGATTCTACAGACACATGGTTCAAGTCAACCCAGCAAAATCACTATTTTGATTAAATTTTACCCAATAAAACTTGGATTAAACTAATCAAACATTCTTCACTATATATATTGTCTGAAACTGGTCCTACAAGCATTTTAGTTCAAGTTAATGCAGCAAAGCAGACATTTTTATTAAAACTGATCCAGAGATTTGATGCATGTATAAGAAAAATCAATCTCAAACCATGCATTGCAAAATAATGATTGTAAGATTAAGAATAAATACAAAGCCAAAATGAAAAAGGGTAGAAAAATATTAAAAGCATGTCAAAATAATATAAACAAGAAAGGTTTTGAAAACAAAAAAAATTAGACAAAAATTGGAAGAAAAGCAATAAAAGAAAATTAACAGATTATGTTTTATACAGTAAATAAAAACAAAAAATAATAATATTATCAATGAATCCAATTATAAAGTATAACTTACCACTTAATAATAATGCTGACTCCATACAATGTAGATCATAATTCAAAAATTAATATACAACTATATATATTTGATAAAATAATTTTCTAAATATACATAAATGAATTCAATTTTAGAATATCACTGTATATTAATTAATGTTTATGGGAAATTAATTTATAGAAAGCAAAATATACTAGACTTAATTCTCAAAAATTAAAATCAAACAGTTAAGCAGTCATTCATACCAATTTAAGACATTTTTATGTTTAACATTTTTTTATAGATAAAGTATTTATAAATTAAATGTTTGTTTTATTAAACAGTTGTTAAATAACATTTTCGGCCTGAATGTCTGGTAAATGTTATTTAATCTGTTTATTTAAACAAATATTTACTTTAAAATACTTGTATCTATAAAAAGAATGTTAAACATAAAATGTTTTTTAATAAATTTTTTGACTTTGTCCAATTCTTAATGTATACCAATTTAATTTAAATTATTTTTTTTTCTAAACTGCTGGTCCAGTATCCTGCATGGCATTTTTCTTAAGAGTAGTAGTGATTATACTCCCTTCCTTCTAACAAATTAGTTTCTTTTTCATTTTGTTTCCCATCATTTAACTTAGAAGACCTTCAAGTATCACATTGCACATTGATTTCTAAAATATTATGATGAGTCTATCCTGCAAAATGGATATTTTTTCTCTATTGGAATTTCCCGGAAGATTTCAATGGCTTTCCTACACCATAGCTAATAATCCACTATATTTTGATAGTGGGCTACAGATGATCTACACAACTCACCAGACCCATGTCTATCAGCTGTTTGAAAATTGAGCAATTTAAGATTCATCTGCATTCTATGCTGAGCATTTTAAGTAGGGTTTCTTCTGGTTACTTAATAATAAAGATACCATTGAATTTAGATAGTTCTACACATACACTGCCTTATCAAAGATAACAGCATTCTCATATCTCAGAATCAGTGGTTTCCTTTCCTTCATTAGTGAATTCTAAGATAATATAGTAAGCAGTTGAAAATGGAATTCCCAATTTCAGTGAAATTTCACATTAGCTCATTGCAACTGTGAAAGGATAAACAATGCATCCTAATGAAAGTGACTGTGCAATTGTTACTCTTCCATTTTTATAGTCTCATGAATAAATTTTCAATTAGTATATCTTTAAGTAATAAAACTTAATAAAATAATTATATATATATATATATATATATATATTATTAGATAGAAATAAGCTTAGACAGATAGACACTATCTATCTTTAAATAGTAAAATTTGAAAATGTTAAAATCACTGATGTATGGTAAACATACTTTGTGTAGTTTTTCTATTTTTTTTTTAATATTTTTCCATTTTCAAATTAGATTGCCATGTTACAATTAGTTAAATTTTATCTTAACGAAAAACATAAAATAATTTGATAATTACTGAAAACACCTTGAAAATCTTAGCTAACCTAAAAAAAAACAATGAGCAAGAAAACAATTTCATTCTGAGCAGATCAATTTAAAGATAATACATTTAATTAACTAAAGAAGCAGCTTATCCTCATTTTTTTTTCATTTTATTAAATTTGATACAAGATTAGAGCTATTTTATTTCTAAATAATATATTTCTTCTGTTTTGAACATAAAGGAATTTTTCCAGGCAAATAAGAGAGAGACTGTTTAAAAAGTTCAAGATAGATATAAAGTATATTTACATCAATCAAGAATGGATTAAAATCATTTTAAAAGTATAAAAAAGAAAGAAAAAATCAAGAAAGAATTTTAAAAAGATAATGAAAGATAAGTATAAAAGAAATAGAATAAAAATGAAGTAAAGTGAAGAATTAGCAAAGAACTAAGAAAATTAAAATACAAGTGATTTCCTATATTCAACAGTTCATTCAATAAACATACATTTACATGAGAAATTTTATTTTATTTATTTTATGACTGGGCAATGGCCAATGAAATTGGACAAAAGTCTCAAAATGCACCAACACACACAAGGGGTTAGATAAGTATGTTTAATATACGTATATAAACATTATATATATATATATATACATTATATATATATATATATATATTATACACAGTGGGTAGCAAAACTATTTAACACATTGGTTTTTCTTACATATCTCAAAAAATAACAGATCAATTTCAACGAAACTTATAGGAACTATTTAAACGAACATTATCGATCAAAACATAGAAGGAAAATTTAAAACCACTGTTTTGAGAAACATTTATTAACAATAAATAAAATAACCCATATGCAAAAGTATTTAACACCAATGCAAATATTATGCTAGAAAAGACATGTCATCATGATTCCTACCCATATTGATATGATGTGATATGTCGACCAATGACAGCACTGCACGACACTCAACTGGCTATTAGATAACAGCTCTGAGACACTGCAGCTATTCTGTTGTTGCCACTACTGCAAAAAAAATGGTGAAAACAAAAGAATTCGGGGGAAACATGTGCAAGAAGATCATAAAAAAGAATCACAAAGATGGTAAGGGATATAGAAAAATCGTCAAGATTTGAATTTGCTTCATGAGTAAAAATGCTGTTGTTCGAAAATGGAAAAAAATTGATATTATTGAAAACATTCAAAGGAGTGGTCGAAAATTATATATTTAAATGAGGCTAATGAGCGATACATTTTTTTGCATTGTGAAAAAAATCCATTTTCAACTCGTCGAGAAATTCAGAATGATTTGAAAAATGCCAGAATTGAAGTTAGTAAAGATACAATTTAAAAGATCACTGAATCGTGCAGGTCTCACTTCAAGATCACCGAGAAAGACTCCATTACTGAAACGCCGACATGTACAAGCCCATTTGAATTTTGTAAAGAAATATGAAATTGAATCTAATGATTTCTGGGAGAAAGTAATTTGGTCAGACAAAACGAAAATTGAGCTTTACAGACGAAACATGCACTCATGTATGGAGGAAAAAAAAGCGGAATACAAGCCAGCAAATACCATCCCTACAGTCAAACATGGGGGTGGAAATATTATGATGTGGGGTTGTTTTTCCTCAAATGGAGGAGGAAAAATGAAAATCATCGAAGGAACAATGAATGCTGCAAAATACACTCAAATTTTGTCAACTCAACTCTTGAATTGAATAGTGGACCTGGTCGTGATTTTGTATTTTTCAAGCAAGAGAATGACATTCTAAAAAACAACTAAGAATTGGTTTAATAATAATGACATTAATGTCCTGGAATGGCCAAACCAGTCACCATTTAAATCCAATCAAAAATTTGTGAAAACTATTATTATTTAAGAATTCGGCAAAAGATTATAAACTGAATTTAAACAAATTGAAGAAAATTTCTGAAGAAAATGGGTCAAAATACCATTGAAAGTACCTGTAAAGAAACTAGTTGAAGACTACAGGAAACGACTGGAGGCTGTGAAGAACAACAGAGGTACTAAATTTTACATTACTAAATAAAAAGAAAGAAACATTAAGTTTTTATTGAATATTTTTAAAACTAGATGGTAATAAATGTTTCTAACAATGGGATTATGGTCATTGACTTTTTAAGGATGATTTCTGTTAAATTGATTTCAACAAATACAGGTTATGCAAAAAAAGATTCCAGAGAATTGATCACATTCTTTCAGGATCCTTCCTGAAAATATTCATCATGGCCCAGCACTTTCAGATTCCCCTCTGAACACACACACTTCACATCATGATTATGAACTATGAGATAGTACAAACGCTTGTTAAATAAATGATTGTGATGAGCAAAGTTATTGATCTAAAAAAAAAGGACCTCAAAAGAAAAAAGAAACAATTAAGTTTCTCCACCAGTGAGGTAAAATCATTTTTAATTTTAAACTTCTTAGATTTGCTGTTAAATAGTTGCCATACATGCCATGGATCATTGTTAAAAAAAGTAAAAAGTCTCTCTGTTTCTTTTATGAATTTTTTTTTCCCTAATGCCTGTCTCCCTCAAATGAAAAAAAAGAACCTAGAAAAGGTTGTGTTGCCAGACCTGAAGACAACATTTCACTCCTGAAGTAAGATACTGAACTTACTTATTCATTTAGCTTCTGGTTAGGGTATGACCAAATAAGTTTAGCAATAGTGATAGTGTCAGCACAGTACTTATGTAACAAAACATTGCTGAGTATGTTTAAAAATAAATATATTATATTTCAAATCAATAATGTAATATTTGAATTTTCTTTTGTCCAAAATATTTTTTTCTTGGAGTAAATTTTATTATTACATTGAATTTGTGGCAGAACTGCTTTCAAACCATAATTGATTAAGATCACCATATGAAGGATGAACATATATGGGGATATGTTCCTATTAATGATAGAACTTTGTAGATAGATTGAAATAAATAACATTTTTGTCCAAAAGCAACATTAAAACAGTAATTATTATAACAAAATGCGACAGGAAGGTAAAAGGCCTACATTTAACAATGTATTATTCCCTTCACTGAAACAAAATTATAAATATATATATATAGAAAATGTCAATATTCAGTTATTTTGGTATAAGAGATAAATACATAAATCAAAGTTTATCTAATATTCCAACATCTATGTTTCAATAAAGATTATCAATTTTATGAAATAAATTTTTAAAAAAAAATGTTTCATTTTTCACAGCGATTTTGGGGCCGTTGAATTCAGAGTTCTTGAGGTCATGAGATGCATGAACTGAGTATTATAAATTATACCCAGATGTCCTCAAGGACACATGGCACAGTGGATAAAGGCGTTGGTTAGATCCAGTGACAGACCCAAAGAAGGTGAGTTCAATTCCTGGTTAAGGCAGTGGAGAACTTTCAGAGGGAAAATTAGCAGGAGATAACTGATAACTGACATCCATCAAACGTGGAATTAGAACAGTCTACCCCAGCGATCGAAATAAAGGGTTCAGTTCGAAATTCCAACCACCTGAAGAAGGCCGGAGCGTACAACGGCCGAAACGTTGTGACAAATATGGCGACAAAGATGAGGACAATAGTCCGACTAATGTAAAT